AAAAAAAAAAAAAAAAATTACCAGAACTGCAAAGAAGCAGGAAAGTGCGACCCATTAGAAAAATCATTCAATCAGAATTGACTCAAATGTTTGAATTAGTAGAGGATGGTATTAAATGCTTATAATAACTATATTTCATATATTTAGAAAGTTGCAAGTTGACAGAGAACTAAAAGGACTAATATTCCCTGAATTCAGGGCATATTATCAGCTATGTGAGAAGAGGTGGGCGTGGTTACAAAGGAGCAAGGGACAAGTATGAAGGTGGCAGACACATTATTTTGGTTAGGATGGTTTCATGAGTATAACTATATGTCCAAACTTATCAAACTGGACACTTTTAGACATGTACAGATAATTGTATGTCAATTATACCTCCATTAAACTGAAAAAACAAACAGATTTAGGAGACACTAAATAAATGCCGTGAGTTGTTCTTGTTCGGATACTGATTTGATCAAATCAACTACAAAAACTTGAAGTCAGGAGAAATCCAAATGCAGATCGAATATATAAGATACTGTTTAATCTGTGTATTAATTTAGTGTTATGATCATGTGTTTCAAAGTCCTTATCTTTTAGAGACAAACATAAAAGTATTATGGATGAGATCATATCAAAGGTGTGCTTCAAAATAATTCGAGGTGAGGAAGCAGGGATAGGTCTAACTGAAACAAGAACGGCCAGGTATTATTAAAGCTGAGAGGTTGGCACTTGAGGGTTCATTTTCCCCTTTTAAATATATCTTAAATTTTCCATATTATGAAAAAGAAGGGAGGGAGAAAGAGAAAACATGTAACAGAAACTAAACAACAGAATACCTAACTCTACCAGTAAAAAGTCATATGATTAACATGTTTGTTAACAGTTGTGGGGCTAAACTTCTTCAATAGCAAAATGAGAGGGATGGACTAATATTCATGTTTCTAGGACAAGAGAACTTTTGTTTTAGAATAAAAAATGATTTTCAAATAAAACCAATACTGTCCCAAATTCTCACTAGGTTCGAGTAAATTTTTATTCTGTAATACCTTGAAATATGATTAGCTAGAATTAAACATACTCAAGAGAAAAGGAAGAGGGAAAAAATGAGGGAAAAAATTAGGGAAAATAGAATCATTAACCTGAAGAGAAGTGCTTACTGTCAAAAGCTTGGTGGTGATCCCTGCGTCCACCACGGCCTTGTGCATGGCGCGTAATGTCTCCAGCTCCGGAGCAGCAATAAATACCACATAGGGCATGAACTCTGAGGTCCTCAACACCTTCAGTGCCTGTGCAGAAGCATAATTACTCACCAACTTATAGAATACTAGAACTTAAGGTATGCTTCCCTTTAGTGTAAATCAAAGTCTATCTGCTCTCTTCCCAAGGATTAAGGATATAATTTACTACCTGTCCCTATCCTTTTATTCCATATAGTACTTTCCTAAAACAGTGATTCATTTATTTCGTCATGAACTAAGTCTTCTGCCTCTTTGTTCTTCTTGAACAATGGAAAGTATAAAAGTGATCATTAAGAATAATATCAGTGCTGTTAATTATCGAATTCTGTTAATATTGAAAAAGTAAAAATAACTTCAGTGCAGATTAAGGAAACTATTATATATCCATACTACAAAATACTATGCGCCAACTATAAAGAACAAAAATAGCTCTATAGAAACTGACATGAGGACTGGTGGCACATGACCTCAAGTGGCAGGATGCCTACCTAGCAAGTGCAAGGCCCTGACTTCAACTCTCAGTAACGCGTGCGCACACACATACACACACAAAGAACCCCCCCCCAAAAAAAAGCCTGACATGAAAAGATCTTCATGAACATTGTTTAATAAAAAAGATAATCTGTATGTAACTTTCCATTTATGTAAAAAGCAACAGACACACACACACACACACATGTATTTGTATTTAAGCTATACTAAAATGACTAGAAAGATACATACTACACTATTAATATTATCTCTGAGTAGGGAAGTGAGGTGATGCTGACTGTAGGAAGCAGGAAGGGGTAAGACAGACAGGGAACAACAACAATGAAATGCATGCTGTCTGTGTGTGTGTGTGTGTGTGTGTGCGCGCGCGCAGTCTTATTTGCATTTTAATTTTACATTTCCTAATCCATACATTCATGTGTTATGTGAGCAGGTGAACAAACACTAAACTTACACAGATGTAATCCCATGGTTTCTACTGCTTCCCAAGGCCTTGCTGGCTAATTGATGGGAAGCTTACTTAACTAGCTATGGATGCATAATGAGGCTCTCTGAGCACCCAAAGTTAAAAGGAACAGTGCTACCTTCCCTCCCTGTCAGAACAAACACTCCTACCTCCTACCTATCTATACAAACACAAGTAAAAACACCCTAGGGAATAAAACTTTAAAAATGGCTTTGGAACCCATGCAGCTCACTCACTTGTGGATTGACGTCTAAGATGCATGTCCTCCCAGTTTGGACGACCTCCAGAATAGAGTCCATCTTGGTTCCATATAGGTTCCCTTCATACTCTCCATGCTCCAAGTACTTTCCAGCTTTAATATCTGCTTCCATCTCTGACCGCGACACAAATTTATATGCCTGGCCATCTTTTTCATCTTCCCTTGGTTTCCGTGAAGTAACTAAATAGAATAACGTTCAGAATTTGTATAAAAAGATTGCAGGGCATAAAAATAAGACTAAAATACACAGGGAAGCTTCATATTTTTCTATGCAGTGCAGAGGTTGGCAAACCAAGCCCTACAGCTAAATCTGACCTGCTTCCTATTTTTGTATAACACTTAATCTGGCCACAGCCATGGTCATTCATTTGTGCATTGTCCATGACCACTTTCCCATCAAACCACAGAGTAGTTGTGACAAAGACTCTATATCCTGAAAAGACTGAAATGTTTACTATGTGGCCCTTCGACAGCAAATGTATGCTGAACCCTGACTCAGAAAAAAATGTTTTAAGATTTATTCCCAAGCAAAATTTGTACAAAAAATGTGAGTTTTTAAAAGTCATTTTGAAACTCAAAGATGCATTTACCTAGAAGCACAGCCCTGAATTAAGTTCTTAAGTATGGTGAGTATTAGTAACTTTGAGGCCTCTTGCAAGGGAACATCTTTTCCAACTGACCATCAAAGAAAGTATTACGTTCTTTTTCCCACTTTAACATTTTCTAAATGACTACCTAAAAGATGAGCAAAGTCCACCTATTCTTAGTTGGCAATAACAATTTTCTGAAGTGAAGTTCCATCCATAAATTATTCTTTACCTTGCCTCAAGACCTAACCTTTCTTTTAGCTTCCTGCTTGCTGATACTCCCAAACGTTAAAATGTTCCATTTTGTACATCAGGTGTGGAGTTAGTCATGTCATTATTTAATAAAAATATGGCCTATTTGCCTCCTCTACCCTGCTCTGACATGTGCTTTCTGAATGAGAGTGAGTAGCCCAAGTCCAAATCCAGAAGGAGGGGATCCTTTTGTATATTTTACAGCTTTGAACACTTTCAGACATATAACTCCATTGTAATTTGGTCTGTGCTAGGAATGGACTATTTTCATCTTTCGAGCTGCTGCACAAGTGTATCTTCTGTCAACTTTGTTAACATTAGTTTTGAGGGAGATAATTTTTTTGTATGCTATTTTTCAAGTTTAGCCTTAAGATCTGAATCTTGGCTGGATCAGTTATTTTAAAAAGTGTCTTATTTCTATTAAGTAATTATAAGTACAGAATGTCTCACCAAATTATTAAGTACATGAAATTAAAATTAGAAAGTAGTCTAAATAAAAGGCCGACAGAGTTTTGACTATTGGTAATAAAAATAAGACACCATGAAAACTTTTGTTAAAGAAAAAAAGAACTTCAAACACAAGTTCAAAACTAGAGGTCTAATTCCTAATGAGACCATTATGTACAACAGGACTCCTTTTGTTACCTGTTATTTTCTGGCATAACTAACTTTAGGAATCTTCAAGATGTTATGATGGCTTTTCATATTCAAAATCATGTGACCTCTGTTCTAGAATTATTCACCAAAGGTAATATGATAAAATATCTAAAACAACTTTAAATTCCTCATACATTTTAGGGCTTGGCTCAATATCTGTGAACATGATTTTAAGAGTATTTTTTTTTTTTTGGCAAAGCCCTACAATGAAACCATATATGGGAATGTGATGCTTAAAATAAATACAGATATTTTGTGTCACCTCCCAACATGCTGGAAAAAAACCTTATAAGATTCTTGGCAAGATGGTTACAAGTGATTTTTAACTACAGCTCCATTTTCTACTGAATATGCCAAAAAATCTACATTGTTTCATGCTTAAATTTCCTCCCATCTCTAGAACAGAGCAATTAGAACTGATTACAATTGACTTCTGATTCCTTAGAAGTGAATTTCTGTGATTGATTGGCAAAACCCCAAGTTTCAGGAGGAAAGAATAAGGAAACAATTTGTTAGCTAAGTTTAAGGTATCAATGTTAAAGAGAAAACAGGATTTATAAGGTAGCTTGCCCTCCTGGAATAACAATGCTCTTCTATTTTATTTTAAGATCATTTTATATTTTAAATATAAAACAAAGTCATTACACCACCATCAACATCACCTGACAGTGTGACAGCACAATAATATGTATCACAATATTTTGTATCAAAAACTAGGCAAGATCCAGGAATTCCACTCTTAAGCTTATACCCAATCAGTATGCCAAACAGACATCTGCACTCCCATGTTCATTACAGCTTTGTTAACAATAGCCAGGATATGGAAATAACTTGTGCCCACTAAAGGACAACTGAGCTGTTAAAAATGTGGTATATAAGTAGAATACCCTAAAAGAAACCAGGATATTCTTTCATTTGCAAAAGAATAGATGAAACTAGAGGGTATTTTTTAATGTTAATCCAGGCCCAAAGAGACAAATAGTATATAAACTGACTTTTAAGTGGAAGCTCAAGAAAGTCAGGCTCACGGCAGTGGAGAGCAAAACAGTGGTTACCAGAGGCTGGACTGGGCGAGGGCTGGCACTGAGTTACAGTGAGACAGGAGGAATAAGGTTCTAGTGTTTCATTATATTACGAGATAACTACAGTTAAAAATATTTATTTTAGAATAGCTTCAAGAGAGTATTTTAAATGTTCTCAACACATGAAATGATAAATATCTGAGGTGATGGATATGTTACCCTAAGTGAGCATGATATAATATATATACGTGTCTAAATTTACTGTAACCTATAAATACGTGTACGTATACGTATAATTATTAAAAGAACAATTAGGCAAACTTGTCCTACTTAATCGTATTTTTCTGTGCTGATTCTAAAACTCTAACAAAAAAGTGAGGTGAATGCCCTAAAGAAATACAGTAAATCACACCTATATTATGTAAAGAAGTGAGAATTAATGTATGGGTGAGTATACATTTTTCCTACATAAAATTTCAGATTCAGAATGATGGAAGGGATGAATTCAATTATGATATATTGTAAGAACTTTTGTAAATGACACAGTGTATCCCCAGTACAACAGTAATAATAAAAAAATTTCAGGTTGAAGCTTTACTCAAAATAAAAGGTCTAGGGCAGCCAGAAATGGAACATACCTATAATCCCAGCACTTGGGAGGCTAAGACAAAAAGACTGCTGTGTTCACAGCCAGTCCAGACTAAGTAGCAAGACCTTGTCTCTCAATACATACATACGTAAGGACTGTTCAAAGGTAAAATAACACATCTTTCTGGACATTAATTTGGCACAAGGAAACCAAGAAACTACAACATCTATATATACCCTATGATCTAACAATTTTACATATGACATTAATATATTTGCAGTTTATCATCACTTTATTTCCAACAAAAATGTACCCCTCTCCACCCATCAAGCCCACAGAAAAAGATGACAGCAGAAATGATTTTTAAAAGTTTAGTGCACTTACATGTTGGATATTAAGAAGCTATTAATTTTTTTCAGCTTTTTATGATAGCAAGCTATACATGTTACCATTTTAACCATTTTCAAGTGCGATCCAGTGGCATTTAGTACATTTTACACTGTTGTGCAATCATCATCACTATTCACCTCCAGAACTTTTAAAAATAGTTTTATTATAATTTTGAATTAGCATACATTAATACTAAGGGGACACTGATTGTGATAATTCCTTATATATGTACAGTATACTCTGAACAAGCTCACCCCCATCTCTAGAACCCCAAACTCTGTCTCCATGAAATAATTAACTCCCCATTATGCCTTGACCCAGCTACAGGTAAGGACTACTCCACTTTTTCTCTAGTTGACATCTTATAGGGGCCTCCTGCAAGTAGAATCACACAATATTTGTCTTTCTGTATCTGGCTTACTTCACTCAGAATATTTTCAAGGTTAATTTACACCAAGCATCAAAATTTTATCCTTTTTTTTAAGGTTGAATAATAATCTACTGTAGATATAGAACACATTCTGTCTATTTACTTATCCATCAGTGGTCATTTTTATTGTTTCTACTTTTGACAAACTCAATAATACTGCTATGAACACTAGTGTACAAATACTTATTTGGTCTCTAGTTTCCCATTCTTTTGGGTATATCCCTAGAAGCTAAATTGTTGGATTAGATGGAAAATCTGTGTTTAATTTTTTAAGGAATAGCTATGCGGTTCCTAGGTACACCAGTTTACATTTTACCAGTAATGCACAAAGGTTCCAATATTTCACCATCTTCATTAACACTGGCTATATTTTTAAATATAATTACATCACTGTGGTTTTGATTTGCACTTTCTTAATGATTAATGATGCTGAACAGCTTTTAATGTTCTTATTTGCCATTTATAGCTTTTGAAGAAATGTCTATTCAAGCCCTTTGCCCATTTCTGAATTGGGACTGTTGTTGTTGAGTTTTAAGATTAATGTTTACACAGACAGTTCGATGATGTAGGACAAAGCCCATGGTGCTTATTCATTCATTAAATATTTGCTGGTAGATAGCATGTCACTATAGACCCTAGTCTAGGGGCTGGGTCTACAGATGTGCAAGAGGCAAGTAAGTTCTCCGTTCTCATGGACATATTCTGCAACACAGACACAGGTAAGCAGTCAAACAACAAATAAGAATTTAAGTGTTGTGCTAGCCATACTAGAGAGGCTACTTTAAGTTGAATGGTCATGGAGGGCCTCTGAGGACATAACGACTTGAATAAAAAGCAACATCCGAGTATGCAAAAATCTGGGAGGCACAGTGTTCCAGGGAGCGGGCTTAACGAGAACAAAAAGGCATGAGTGATACGCTTAAGAGTCTGAAGAAAGACGAGTGAGCTGAAGTATGCAAATTTGATCGAACAATGTGATTTTAATTCTGCAATTACAAATTCCATAATTAGAAGATGTGAATGTTTTCTTCATGCATATAAACAGACTGCTCAATGGGACTTTAATTGCAGTCTCAGAATTTTATTTGATTCCCAAGTAGTTGCTAGACAACATCAACGATTTGTAGTCTCATTTTTCAGTTTATCAAAAACGGGTAAACTGGTCTGAGGGTCATCTACCTAACCGTCTCTATATTATGTATTTTTAAAAGAGTTTAAAGTAGTAAGTTGTAGGTTAAGGGGGAAATAAGTTA